CAGTTAGAGTAATGGCTATGTCACTGGACTCCCATGTAGCTGACCATGGTTTGAGTCCCGGACCTGGTAGCTTAAATTCACACCGGGCACGTGTGCGTGCGTGCCCAAGACCCCGAGAGGAGAATGGAGGAGAAGGGATGCGGTGTGACCATCCCCCCTGGGGAGTGATTTCTCGCTTTCTGTCTCTCTGCCGCTCTGTCTTCCTGGTGAGCGCACGTGCCCTATGGCAAAAACCTCTCAAAGAAAAAAAGAAAATTATGCTGGACATGTGTGCATGTTGCCCAAAATTCCAGGAGGAGAATGAATGAGAAGGGATTGCAGTGTGGCCACCCCCCAGGGGGTATTGTCTCTCTCTCTCTCTCTCTGGTGAGCACTACATGTCCTATGGCAAAAACCTGCAAAAAAAATAAAAATAAAAATAAGATGGAGAGCTTTTTGCTATAGGGCGCATGCACTCTCCAGAAAGACAGAGAGAGACGGAGAGACAGAAAGCGAGAAATCACTCCCCAGGGGGGATGGCCACACCACAATCCCTTCTCCTCCATCCTCCTCTTGGGATCTTGGGCACGCATGCACACACACCTGGTGTGAGTATAAGCCACCAGGTCTGGGACTCGAACCACGTTTGATTACATGAATGTCCAGTGACGTAGCAATTACGCTGGTCCCCATTTATTATTATTTTTTAATTTGACCAGAGAGAGAGAGAGAGAGGGAAAGGGAAAAAGCAACCCACCAGGTCCAAGACTCAAACCGTAGTCCGCTATGTGGAAATCCAGCGACTTTAACCACCACGCCACCTGCCAGCTTCCCCCACATATTTATTATACGGATGAATCAGGTTGATCAATCCTATTGGCAGGATCGATCTACCTGCCTGGGTAAGCTGATCTCTTCCTTGGCCTCTGTTGCCTGTAAAGATCAAGAAGGTATAGGAGACTCTGTGTAACCCCTTCAGTTCCCAATGCCAGGATCACAGGCCTCTCAACAAATAACCGAGACACTTTCTGTGAAATCAATGAGGGAAAAGCCACATTGATTGGGCGCCTTGTGCAAGCCCCAGGTAAGATAAATTCACATAGGTCCAAGGCCCCAAATTATGGGATTTCACAGACCCATAGTTTCTTTGAAAATTGTGATCAAAATAAGGCTGCCTACTTTTTATTTTACCAAGTAAAAGTCATTAAAAAAAATAAATTATTGGAGCAGGCAGGTGGTTGGCGGTAGAGGGTGCTGGATTCCCACATGGCCAACCATGGTTCAAGTCCTGAACCTGGTGGTTTGCTTTCTCACTTTCTCTCTCACTCTGTCCCTCTCTGGTCAAATTTAAATAAATAAATAAATAAAGTTCAACAAAATAATTCTCTTTTAAAAATCAACTATTGGGACCAGCAGTTAATGTAATGGCTATGTCGCTGGACTCCCATGCAGTCAACCATGGTTCGAGTTCCAGACCCCATGGCTTAAACTCATGCCAGGGACATGTGTCTACATGCCCAAGATCCCGAGAGGAGAATGGAGGAGAAGGGATTGTGGCATGACCATCCCCCCTGGGGGGTGATTTCTTGCTTTCTGTCTCTCTGTCTCTCTCTGTTTTTTTCTGGTGAGTGCATGCACCCTATAGCAAAATAAATAAATAAATAAATAAATAAATAAATAATTTTTAAACTTTTATTTATTTATTTAAATTTGACCAGAGAGGAAAAAGTGAGAAAGCAAGTTTCCAGGTCCAGGACCCGAATCGCAGTCAGCCATGTGAGAGTTCAGTGCCCTTAACCACCACTCCACCTGCCAGCCCCAATAAATGTATATTATGGCACTTCCTGGAATCATTATCTTCGCCAAAATGATAAACACAAAGAGAAAGAGGAAGGTACCTGATATATATTCTCTAGGCCTTTTAGAAAACCTGGAGTGGTTCCTTTGGCAACACATATGTGAGTCTACAAGGAAGGTGATAAGGGCCCGCAGATGGAGTAATGGTTATGTCTCTGGACTCCCACGTAGTCAACTGTGGTTCTAGGCCTGGACCTGGAGGCTTAAAATTCATGCTGGGCACATGTGCATGTTTGCCCAAGATTCTGACAAGAATGGAGGAGAAGGGATTATAGCATGGCTACCCTCCCTGAGTGTGGCCACCCTTCTCTTGCTTTCTATCTCTCTGTCTCTCTGGTGAGGGGATGCACCTTATAGCAAAAATCTCTCTTTAAAAAAAAGGCAATACTGGTACCAGCAGGTGGCGTGGTGGTTAAGGTGCTGGACACTCCCTCATGGCTGACCAGGGTTCGAGTCCTGAATCTGGTGGCTTGCTTTCTCACTTCCTCTCTCTCTCACTCTCACCCTCTGTCTCTCTCTGGTCAAATTAAAAAATCAATGAATGAATAAATAAAAAATAAAACAAATAATAATTTTTTTAAAAGGTGATACCAGAGACTTCAAGGGAATGGACAGTGTCCAAAGAGGAATGCCCCACAGGTGTTACCATAGCCAAACTGGAAGAGTCTGCAATGTTACCCAGCATGCTGTTGGCATTGTTATAAACAAGTTAAGGGCAAGATTCTTGCCAAGAGAATTAGTGTGAGCATTGAGCATATTAAACATTTTACGAGCTGAGATAGCTTCCTAAAACATGTGAATAAAAATGACCAGAAAAACGGGGAAGCCAAAGAGAAAGGGACCTTGTTTCAATGAGGCACCAGCCTGCTCCACCCAGAGAAGCACACTTGGTGAGAACCAATGGAAAGGAGCCTGAGCTTCTGGAACCTATTTCCTATGAATTCATGGCAAGATGGGTGTTAAGATTAAACTAAACTGGGACCAGCAGATGGCATAATGGTTATGTCGCTGGACTCCGATGTAGTTGACCCTGGTCCAAGTCCTGGATCCGGCGATTTGACACTCACGCTGGGTGCGTGTGTGCCCAAAACCCCAAGAGGAGAATGGAGGAGAAGGGATCAAAGTGTGGCCATCCCTTCTGGGGGGCAGGGTGATTTCTTGCTTTCTGTCTCTCTGTTTCTCTCTGGCGAGTGCATGTGCCCTATAGCAAAAATCTTTCTAAAAAAAATAAATCCAATAAATTATGGTCTATTAAAAAAAAGTAAATAAAATGTGTATTTTGACAGATCTACCCCTGTGTGGAGTCTGGTCTTTGGGATCTGCTAACATGAATTACTTTTCACATCATTTCCTCACATAATTATCCCTACAAAATGCGGCTTAATCAGACTCCTTTACAGAGGGGGGAAAGATTCAGAGAGCCCAAGTATAAGCTCCCAGAGATAAAGTGTCAGTCAATTTGTCTGGGTTCCAACCCAGATCATCCTGACAGATCCTACGCTGAAGGCTACTTTCTGGCATGGAAAGAAATGACCTTAACAGTCCCTGGGGGTGCTTGGAGGCCTGACCACGATCCTTGACATTGATGCTGTTCTCCACACGTCTTCATGGTGAGCTCACTTCATGCCCGGCACTGGGCTGGGCGCTGCAGAGAGCTAGGGTACTTCCCAGCGCCTTCCTCTGGTCCCCTGGTACTCACCCGGTCCCGTCCGTTCCCCAGGCCCCTCTCCTAAAGCTGATGGCCAACAAATTCTCATGGCGGGACTGGACTGCTAACAGTTTAGGGAGTTCCCTCTCCCAGGAGAGTCGGCAGTGTCCTACGTGACCCTGGGAACCTTTAGGGATTCCCAGAACTAAAGGGCCTGGAAGCACCGCTTTGCAATTTCAGGCACCGTGCCGGGGTGTAGGGGAGGCAGTGGGAGAGCATGGATCCAGTTCTCCCCCTATCAAATCATATCCCTTTTGCTCCACCACCACCACCGGTTCCTGTGGGCTCTGTGGGGACCCGCAGCCCCACAGCTCAGGCTGGAAAAAGGAGTCCCCCAAACCGGAGGGCCGTACTGTGAAGAGGGCTCCTTGTTCTGGCTGGGGAGCCCGGGGACCCTATCCTCTCCTCCTGCCCACTGCCAGAATTAGGAGCGCCCCTCCCCCGTTTCTCCGCTCCGTGCGCCCGCGCGGGGGCGCGCCTCTGCCAGGCCGCGCCGGT